CGCTATCAAACTTTACAGAATCACTCGTTGGGCTAATCTGAAGATTGCCTAAAAATGTCATAAAACTCGCTTCAGCTGTTTTAGCTTATGGAACACACGTACACACATCGATTTTTGTATTTAGATAGATTCATATGAATAATATTTATGAAATCAGTAAATAAACACTGCGCATTATTTAGGAACGGGTGGACAGTTTTTTTTTCATGAAAGTTGTATGAAGTTTTTTTAATGGTTCTTTATTACTATTACACGACACGTTTGGCCATAACACAGGTCTCGTAGCTTACCATGACACTAGATGATGCGTTAATTTCCCGACATATTTTTAATACATTTATTATTATTATCGTTTCGTAGCTATAAGGCTGACTGTGACATACAGTCTCATCATCATCTCTAAAACTATTGCATCTATATTGCTAAAATTTGTTAGGTAAGTGTCAAAAAATTAGGTAAAAAAGGTTAAGTTAAAAAAAGTTTCAAAATACTTACTCAATTAACAATATTTCGAGTTGGTTTTATGAGTGGGATATTTTCCATTTTCCATTCCATTTGGCAGCAAAAATATCTTTGTTTCTCATAGTAATAATATGGAACACTATTTATGTTTTCAATAAAGTAAATAATATTTTACAATCACCGTACCAAATCACATTTTGGGATTTTTAGTTGATGGGTACGCTCGGCGTTAAAATGGCATAATTAGGTAGGTACAAGTATTTATATGAGAACCTCAAATATTCAAACAAAATCCAGCAATAATGTAACTGACATTTGGATGGTTGACAGTTTAGAAGTTACTGAAACTACTTATGATTTTTGTGTTGTGTACGTATGAATACGATGAATAGAATGATCTACGCCAGTAGGAGTCATTGAATTATTAAAATCAAAAAAACTTCTAAGTAAACTAAAACACATATGCCCCCTTTTACCAACATCCATAAACTACCACCTACGTATGGGATCCCTAGCTTAAAGGTTCCCCTAAACTAGCCCCTAAATTAAATATCATTTTACCATCGTCAGGGCTCGTATTTCTAGTACCCATGTTTAAGTGGTATTTTAACATTTAGGTGACCCATAACTGTCGGTGAAACAGAAACTGTCCCCTAACAGCCCACTAAACATGCTTAGGGGATCCCTTAAACTTAGGTGACGTTGGTGAAATCGGCCATTAGGTATCTATACGTAGGTACATCCATACATTTAATAATATTGTAACTAAGCCGAAACTGTACATTAAATATTTTTTGGAAAATCTTATTGAAATAAACATTATTATCGATACGGATCGGCCGAATCTATAGTTTTTAGAATTTTTGTCTGTCTGTCTGTTACCGCATCACAAAAAAACCACTGGAGGGATTTTGATGAAATTTGGTATGGTGATAGCTGGTTATCCGGGTCAACATATAGGTTAACTTTTTACCGCGGGAAAATATATCATTTCTGAGAAAAAATACAAAAACTGCAATGTAGGGGCGGAGCCGCGGGCAATGCTAGTATACCTATATTAAAACAATAACTTAGCGAAATCATAGTGCGCGTTTCACACAAAAAATACTGAACCGATTTTAATTAAATGTGTAGTGATAATTTATTACTCGGGTCAATATTTAGGATTATTATCAAATTCTAAGGGTCCCCATTGTAGGGGCACGGCCTACCCATCAAGGGTGGAAGTATAGCGCTAAAAAATCTCAAATTATTCACGTTACTATAAAACTGCAAAACTAGTTCATAATCGCAGCCCCCGACGGATATGCTTGAGTTTATCTCGCGTTACATTTATTTTTTAAGTAGAAGGTTTTTAAATAATTTTATCCTTTTTCAATTACTTTTTAACCCACGAGGTTTTTTCTAAATTTTTAATTATGCTTTTTATTAAAGGGAACTTAGGTTTTTGTGTCGAGCGATTTTTTAAATTTTTATTACTATTAAGTGATGCTGAGTGTACATTTACTACTAATATTATTAATGTCATGTCATAATTTTACAAAACAAAAAACATTGTTGTTTTCCTTACTAAAACTGTTTTTTTCCTCAAAAAAAACGACGCTCCGTGAAAAAAGACAAAAATAAAACTAAGCAAGAATTAGTGAATTAGTGAATATTAATGTTTATGTTTATTAACTATCATAGAACACACCTTGGCAAGCTGATATAAACAGTTTTATCAAAACATAAAAGCCCATAATATACCTAAAACTAAAAAGTACGCAGTTTTGTCAGTGTTTTGTTGCGAAAATGAATTATATAAGACAACTTGCGACTCACCCTCGCTCCGCTACGTAGGTTACGTTTTAAGGTTTGTATAAATTTCCCAGAGATATATTCCCACAGTAAAAAGTATCCTATATGTTGACCCGGATAATCAACTATTATCATACCAAATTTCAACAAAATCCGTCCAGTAGTTTTATCGTGATACTTTCCTAGACAGACAGATAGATAGACAAACATTCAGATTGAATGAGTGCAAGCAGAACTGCAAAAATCCGTGAGAATTACATATAAATTTGTTGAGGACATATTATTAATAATTAATTATTTATAATATTATATTATTTAGTTCGATGACTGTTCTATATGATTCATTTACGAGTATTACTCAACATTTTCTAACTATATTTATCATTTTCTTAGTACATGATTGCTAGTAACTTTAAAATTAAAACTATTATAGCTTAATTGTGCAGGTGGTATCTGTAAAAAATTGATTATAAATCTGAACAGATAAATAAAATTGAAGTGTCTGTTTGTAATGTCAAAATCACAGCTTTATACTAAATGCATATGAAATTATTTTTAATTTTTTGTCTGTCTTTCTGTTTGCTCCGGATAATCTCTGAAGCGGCTGCACTTATTTTGACAGGACTTTCACTGGCAGATAGGTGATGTTATAACGAGTAACTTAAGCTACTTTTATTTTAGAAAAAGAATTAGGGTTCCGCTCAAAAAACTTAAAATGTATCTATAAAATTAAAATTTATAAAAAAATATAAATGTAGGATGCACCCGAGCGAAGCGAAGGTAAGTCATTAGTATAGAATATAATTTCAAAATATTTAATAAATACAGGTGAATTTCCTGTTCATAAAGAGATGTTTCCTTACGTTTGTAGAGACTTGGGCTTGTAGCGCTAACATAGGCATGGTAAGCGTAAACCTATTGGTATTTAATATGGATTGCTTTAACGATAAGTATTTGAAATAATATTATAAAGTTCGCAGAAGATTCAATTAAATTTTTCCGTGTAGCAGGTACGACTGAAGTCACAGGCAGTGTCTAGTTTTGAAAATTGCAAGTGTGGATCACTTTTTGCCCAACTGTGTCTGTCTTTACGTTTATTTACGCGGCAAACAGTAAATAGGCTATTTATCTATACATAATATAATAAAATTCTAATTGAGTCCAATCTGTACATTGAATATTTTTTGAAAAATCTTATTGGAATAGTCATTATTATCGATACAGAGGCCGAATCTATAGTATTTAGAAGTTTTTTTTGTCTGTCTGTCTGGTAACGCATCACGAGTAAACCACTGAACAGATTTTGATAAAATTTGGTACGGTGATAGCTGCTTATCCGGGTCAACACATAGGATACTTTTGATTGCAGGAAAATATTTCATCTCTGAGAAATCAATACTAAACGTTAAAACGTAACTAGAGGGTGAATCGCTAGCATAATATATAAAAAAAGTCTAATCAAACAACTAAAAAAAGTAATATACCTAATCTAAACGTGACTTTTACTTAAATAATTATGTACAATTGTATTGGTCAATACTTATTTGTAACTTTTTTTTTCTTGGAACATGACACGATTTTCCACGTATGAAGATAATAAAATCTATTTAACTATTGCCAAATATCTACGACTTAAATGCGAAATAAATGCGCAAGTTATAATTTCCCGCAGTAAAAAGTATCGTATATGTTGACCCGGTTAACCAAATTTCATCAAAATCTGCCCAGTAATTTTCTCGTCCCAGACCGACAGACAAAAATTCTAAAAACTATAGATTCGGCCTCTGTATTGATAATAATGATTATTTCAATAAAATTTTCCAAAAAAATATTTAATGTATAGATTTGACTCAGAATTTTATTAAGTATATCCATACTAATATTATAAATGTCAAAGTGAGTTTGTTTATTTATATATTTATTTGTCCTTCTTTCACGTCAAAACAGAGAGGCGTATTGGTGTGATTTTTTGTGTGGAGATAGTTGGAGGGTGACATAGGCTCCTTTTTTCCGCGAGAGATTATCTAATTCCCACGGCAAAACACGTTATCATAAAATCCAAAAAAATATTTATGATCAGAATTACTTGAAACTCTTTATTAATGCTCTTCAATAAAATGAAATACATACGTGTTTTAGTACTTTTCGAAAATCATCCTATAAGGGGGTAAAATAGGCCATGAATGTTTTTATGAAACTACCTTTTTAGATATTTTATGTAGTTTTAGCGCGAGCAAAGCCGCGGGTTCTCCTAGTTAGGTATAAATTTAATTAATCACAACTAGATTATGGTATACTTTTTAAAAATGTTTTTATTATTGCCCTAGAAATTCTATATTTTCAAAAAAAAAACAATGTAATCCTAAAGACTCTTTTGGCTTACTTTATTTATCTAAAAACTTAAAGAGATTTTTGGTTTGGAAATGTAACAAACATATAGAAACACACATACACTAATAATAGTTGTATACAAACACACAAATGAGACAGTTTGAAGTCACATGGGCCATGCCATTAAAATACCTAGTTGTCCAAATCCGCAAAACTATTGTTTTCAATTAATACAACTCATTCCATTACCGCATGTTTATGACAAGCATGTCTTATATCTCTACACAAATAAATACACACATACATATTTGTCGTCCATTCAATTTGCTTAACATAATTAAATTAAGCTGTGAAACAAAAAAAACATGTAAACATAATTTTTTTTAACACTAATTAAATGTTTTTCTTACCACAGGCAACACTGGCAAAAGCCAGACAAATCCATAGTATTCTCATTGTATGTCACGGCGCGCGCGCACGTCTGTATCGGTCCGTGCGAAACACTGTACTAAATTACTATGAATTTAAATTTCATGATATTATCTATTGGAAATAGCGCTATAGTTTTTCATGCGGTTTTGTTTGTAAATAATGGAAATAGCAAAAATGTTTTTGGATGCGGATTAGTATATTATAAGATTAGCTACTAGCTGAAAAATTAGTTCTAGCTTTTATTTAAAACTTGCAACTCACCCTCGCTTCGTTAAAATTCGTCCCTAGTGAAAAACAGAAACAAATCTATCCCACAGGAACCGTACATTTTTGGGGGATAAAAAGTAACATATGTGCTATTCCTATCATAATCTATCTCTGTGCCAAATTTCAACCAAATCCGTTCAGCCGTTCTGGCGTGATTGAATAACAAACATCCATTCAAACTTTGGCATTTATATTATGTGTCAATAAAAAATTGTGTGACAATAAAAAATTGGCTACATCACTCAATCAGCTAATGCAAAAAAACTTTATAAAATAGTAAGGCATTTCTTTTTAGGAAACCTTATAAAATAACTTGGTCTCTCTGTCAAGACCGTTATTCTCAGGGACGCGTAATGGTATCAAGTTGAAATTTATACTAAACTAGCAGTATTAGCGGCTTCGCCCGCGTCCAAGCTTCCGATCCCTACCAAACTTCACAGGATCACCTAATTTCATCAAAATCGCCTCAGCCTTTTTGGTGACCATAATTACGCTATGGAACCATTCGTGTTCGAACCAGTTTCTAAGTTTAATAATAAGTATGCGTATATACTTACATGAAATATTGTCATCTGTCACTGCCTTTTTTCTAGACATCGGAGAGCGCTTGAAGAGACAGAAGAAAAACAAGATTGTAGACTAAGATAATGATAAAATAACAATAAACATCTAGGGTTTTCCATGTCAATATGAACAAAGTTTTATGACAACGTTGAATGATTTAACTTATAGCATAGATCTCATAACACTATACTAGCTTATAGCAAAGTTTACCCACTAGAAGTAAAACTTTTTATAATATATAGATCGTTTATTTTATAATATGTATATTGAATTAATATACAAAAATTTCAACAACTCTTGTTTGGAGTCTACGAGTATATTCTGTACACAATACATGTTACAGTCTTTCTTTTAAAAAAATATTTCATGTACAGATTTTGCTTTCTATTTTATTACATATATACACTATACATATGAATTATAAATGAATGAATAGGATATTATTTTGGATTTTATATAAATCGGAAACTTATTACAATTTTAGTTCTCGTTTTACACATTACTATACCAAACCAGTTAGGTTCGAGTGAAAAAATCGCGGGTAGAATAAAATAAAAAGCAATTCTTTAGTATAAGTATATAATAACATGGCATTGATGACATAAAAATATATAATAAGTTTATAAATAAATTCCCGTTTGAACTTCGTCTTGTTTCGGTGAACAATTATCATCCAAGGTCAAAAGTTCAATCCGCATTCGTAATAAATATTTGCTTATAAGCAAAAATAAAAATATCGAGTTGCATGCAGGTCAACTTTGCTCGACACTCTACGATAACATATCACTAACATGAAGAATAACTATTCTATAAGAGTTTTACCAGGGTAATTGGTTTTACTATATCTTAAATCGTCTATTTCTAAGAATCTCTATGTACATCCATTTGAAACGGAACACGTAAAGTGTAATTTAAAAAAAAACATCATTACGGCTTTTAGTTATGTAGATAAAAGCTGTGCTGTAGTGCTGGGATAAAAGCAATAGTAGCTTTCAGGATGATAATAAAGACACAGGCATTTATAGTATAGCAGTAAAAGGAGAGGAGTGAAGAGCTGTATTTGGTTGCGTATATATTTTTTTCTGTTTTCCTAATTCTACTTTTAATGAAGAGTTGGTAAAGTTTTTTTATTAATATTGAAATATGTTTTTATCCAAACTAGGTGAATACCGCGAATATTTGAAATTGCAAGAATTTCTCGATCATAAATGGTGCTATGCGTGGCGACCCGCGCGGGTCACGGTCATACTACTTGTTATTGTAAATATTAGTTTTCTTTTATATACACAAACGTAAACCGTTAATATATTATGTATTTACATACATTATACAAAAGAATTAAATAGATTTTTTTTCGAAACGTCGGGAACCAAAATCAAAATAAATCCGCGAAATAATCCGAAAAGATAGTTTTATTTACATTTTTTTTGTTACTGTTAAACTAAAAAGTGTACATCGATTTCAAAATCATTTAAAAGTAATTATTGTTCACTCTGGAGGTATTTTTTTTTTGAATTTATAAGGGTGGCCTCATACTCTTGCAGTGTAACTTGTTCAATAAATGAGGGTTTTGAACATCAAATTCGCCATTGACGAAGAAATGGCGTAACTAAAAAATATAAAACAAATAATTGAGTCTTCTCCATTATGAAATCAATAAAATTATATGACTAGAGGTTATTTTTACTGTCAATAAATTGTAAGACTTGTTATTAGTTGCAACCAAAATAATACAACAGAATCTCGTATCTTTTCCATTCTACGTGACATTGGCAAAGTAATCTGTGCTCAAGTGGCACGCTTTGAAGCCAATTTAATTGAATTATACAATAAATAAAACTAACTTATATACCTATTACTTACTTGAAGTAAAAAAATAATTTAATATTTCTAAATTATTGGTCACAGACAAACATTTATATACACAAAATATATTAATAGATAGTACATTCTTATTAAATTTATAAGTATCAATAAAGAAAATGATATGCGATAAGAGCACCGTGACACTGATAATAAATATGGTGAAATAAAAAAATATTGACAAATACAAGTCAAAATAATGTTATCGGATTACAATAATTATAACTGCAAAAGTTTGTACGTTTGTGTGTGACGCTATAGCTAAAACGGCTGGACGGATTTAGATGAAATTTAGTACAAGGATAGGATGATCTGGAGTATCATAGGCTAGGTTTTTAAGTGCCTAGATATGCACTCGAACGAAGCTAAGTCCGAAAAGTCCTTAATACTATCAATAGTTTGAATTCCTCAGTCCTGATAAACATTGGTGACTCAATGGGAGATTGAATTGATATTTTTAATTTATTTTACCGAATTTAAAACCAGAGTAGCTATGTTAAAACAATTTATTTATTTCTTTTATTTTCAAGCATGTTCAAGGGAGAGACTAAAGTTTTGACGTCCATAATCATAGCACAGACGGTGTAGGTACGCCCGCCCACAAAACTCAACTCAACCTAACCATATTCAATTGAGAAAATACTTTGAATCTGATAGTTTTTGAAGTTATACTTCTTTTGGGACGTTTGGAAAAAAATATGAGAGTAAAATTTATACGATGCGCGCGCACACCGACAGCCAAAAAGTGACATGATGAAGTTAGCTGAAAACGACATGATGACGTTAGCTGATAACTGTTTGTTGCCATGGTAACCGTTGTTATTGTCTGACAAATGATATATAATATTATATCCTTTCCTTAGATGATATTCTATAAATATATGATTGTAATATGCCTAATATGTATTATTTAATCAGGTATTTTATTAATTTATCATTCCTTTTACAAACAGAAGTTGTGACATACGAAATGAAATCTTTAGCTATTTTTGTTCTGTTCCACCAATTATATTATTTAATCCAATTTATCTAATTCTTATGTGCGTAGGTACATAAGTACATACAAACACGTTTTTTTTTAATGTAGAACTAGAAAATTTAAAAATATAAGGTATTGTAAGTACAAATTACTTAAGCTAGGCAACTGTACTGGTTTTCTGTAGATTTGATCAAAATTAATTGATGATTCAAAGCGAATTTAGAAGAAATCATCATCTATATAATTAACTATATACTTATAACGTAATAGCTAAGCTATATATTTTGGGAATGCACAATAACCCCAGTGCGTCATTATGTTTGTACACTCTCGGATAATTTGAAACTTATTAGTATGTACCAAGTACCAACACTATAATTTATCTAAATGACATGCCATATTGAAATATTTAAACATATTAACCTAAGGCAAAGTGTCTCAAAATGTATACTATAATAAAAGAGTAGAGAGGTCGAATGTCTGTACATATCAAAAAAATGCTAATAACCGAGTCAGGGCGATATAAGAAGAAAAATAGAAAAAATCCAGATTTTTTCATTTTTTTTGTTACTCTGTCTGTTTGTCTGTTTGTACGGGGTAATCTCCGAATCTATTAGACCGATTTAAATGAAATTTTGCATGGTGGTACCTTATATCCCCAGGCAACATCTTAGATACTGTTTATCCCGGAAAATTAAATAGTTCCCGTAGGATAGTTAAAAAATGTAATAACTTATACAGCTTAGTACACAACAACTTATGCACCTAATTTAGTAAAATTTAACATTCTGATACCTTATATTGCCGTTCAAACAACAGGTTACTTTTCATCTCGGAGAAAGAAACAGTTCCCGTGGGAACTAATAGATCTCTATTAGTGTTTTTTTAGAGGCGAACCCGAGCGAAGCGAGGGTGAGCCGCTAGTAGAATATAAAGCAGATACGGAAGCATCTAATAACCTTTACGTGGTCTATTTTAGCTCATAAAATGGATACAACTCTGGTTTTATTGCGGACGCCACATTACGCAACAGGATCGTCTAAGACGGACATTAAGGATATTTATAATGGATCGTTTAATGGATGTTGACGACACGTTTGGCTCAGTTTGTAGGCTTGGTGTGCCAGAAGTCGCGGGTTCGAATCCCGCTGGGGGCATACATTTGTGTGATGAGCACGAATGTTTGTGCTTCAGTCATGGGTGTTTATATGAATAATATGGATGTATTCAAAGTTAAATATATGTATATTGTATGTGTAGTGTATCAACTATCTGATATCCATAACACAAGCCTCGTAGCTTACCATGGAACTAGATGGTGACGTATGTTAAGGTCCTAACAAACTGAAAC